GACGAATAGATATCAAAAGCTAATGCAATCTAAAATTTTGCAATAACGGGTTACTTATTCAGTTTTAATTATCCACCTAAACCGATAGACCATAAGGCTCATAGCAATATCCTTCGACACACAACAATCTTAATACAATGAGCCTATAATTACCGTTAATTCAATTCCAATCCTCACAAGGAGGTCCTCAATTACCAGTCAAGTAAACATTACTCCGAGGTCCAAAAGCCCAAAGTTTGTCGTCTTAAACCTCTTCATTTCCACGAAGTACCACGGTTCACTGCGCAGGCGCACAGCCTCTCGACCGATGCTCAGTCAACAAATCGTTTGATGGCTCTCTCTGTTTGATCAACATAAAACATCTTGAACGTATGCAGGAGTGGATGAGGTATTAGATTTTATTGTGTTGATAGTATTTTTAGAGGACTAAATAATTTTATAAGCGATTAGCGAACATTTTTGAAATCGCATTAGTCAAACAAATCAACATACAAGAATTGTATTGACTTCGAAAATTTTCGCACATTTTTCAAGAACAGACAAACTTAACTGTTCGTTTTACTGATTTCAATAATACTAAAAATAACCTCTAGAAAGCGAAACAACACAATAGTAAACTATCAATCCTTAATACAATCAGCAAAAAAATATAAGACCAAAAATAAAAATAAAATATTTTTATTATTATCTCACTATAGACATAGACTAGCCTCATTACCGCATCCAGGTAGTAAAAAAGTACCGCACACGATAACGACGCGGTGCCAAGCACATATTTGTGAACGGTACCGATCACTTAGGCAGTCTGTTTGGTAGAGACGTACCGTCATTCGTGTCAGGTGCGTTGCCAACGGTACATTGTTTGACGACTGTGCTGACCCTACCTGTGACGGTGTTGTAATACATCAGCGGGGACGATAATGATACTCGAACTAGATTAAATGAATTAAGTGACTTAAGGAGAACTTTTCAATTATTCGATTTAATTTTCTTTCATATGAATGTTTTTCTTTTTAATAAATGTTTTTTTTTATATAATGAAAGTTGCCTTAGTTACTCATTATTACATCAACTACCTCCCAATTATGTTCCGGTCAAAATTGGTCCAGCCATTTCAAAGATTAGCCCGAACAAACAGACAGACAGACAGACAAAAATTGTATAAAGTATTATTTTTGTGTATGTACCGTACATATCTATGTAGGTTTATGCATGCTATTTCAATATTACAAACATATATTGAATTTTATTTATATTTATAGATTAATGATGTATGTAGTCCTTCCAGTTCGAAAAATAAATTTGTTTTCTCCAACGATTGTCAGTTAGACCACCGCCGTAGCTTATAGCTTGGACCACACCGAGCTACTAAGGTGTCAAGTCAAACGCTGTGGCCGGTAACAATGTAGTGTTACACGGTGCATTACCATCAGTTATTCTGAACCAAAGGTTAATTGAACCTTGTTCCACTGTTATTGGTTAACTAGCTAGTTACTCAATTGTTCCGTTTTAACTTCTACTTTGTTCATAGGTTTTGTTTACTTCATTGAAGATTTTTATTAAATTTTCAACGTAATGTAATATCTGTTAAGTCATATTAAGTTGATGTTTGTATTAATGGAATGTGTTATGTGCTTAATGTTTATCTAGTAAGACTTACCAACTATCAACAGCTTCTATCAACAGTACAACTTATGTATATTCATAACTTAGTATTAAAAAAATTAGTGATAGGTGCTAGCAAGAATATAAAACTAAAATAAATAGTAAAAAAACTTAGTCTAAATGAGTGCATTAATGAAAATTATAATGACCCTAAAATTATGAAACCCAGCAATGAACCTCAAAATATTTATACTATGACAAATACTTAAAAAATTGTATATATTTCACTCAAATATGTGCGGCCATTTTGGATTCGGCCATTTTTATTTAAAGCCACGTTTCTGAAAGCTAGTTTTTGGATAATCGGATGACATGAGCACATCACCACAGCTGGGCAGGCCACACAAGGCTGCTGCTCTAACGGCACATTTCCTCTCATTATAGAACCTCAGCTCGCCGGAAACAACCGCTCAATGGTCGCCATCGTAAATACCAATCACTTCCTGCAAATTTTCATTATTTAATATATTTTTATAAATAAATATAAATGAGGTTTTAATGTGGGAATATATTTTTAATGTTATTGTATTTTGAAGTTTGTAAAGGATATTACTCCATTCGCTCCAGTTTAACAATATTTAAGTAAACAGCTAATAAACAATTCGAATTGCAAAATTTTAGAATATAACATATTTATAACTTTTTATTAAACCTCGAAAAAACTGAAATTGCAAAAACAAACCTACCTAACTTGATCTTTAAGCACTAAATTTATTATCATGGAGACTATCATAGAAGTTATGGAAATCCCAACATTATTGTTAAGAGGTTAGACCTCATAAAAACGTTTTAAATCCTTCGCCAAATTCGAAATTGATTGTTAATTCAAATAATCTCCGACAACGTTTACACCCACACACACCATATTCAAAATATGCATAAATCTGCCAAAAAACGAGATCAATAACCAACCTTATTCTATCACAAAAAAGTGCATTTCTCGTTGACACATTCATAGGTATCTTTATTAGCTTTGATTTTCTTCTTAAACCTGATAAATTAGGACTAGTTTCTATTGTACTGACGAACCGACGTGTAACATAGATCAATATTTTGAACCCATATATCTAGCCCACGGAACTCCCACTTCGATATACAACACCGAAATATAGAAAACATAACCCGGATCTGCCCATATATTGTGAACTTCATTATTCTTCGTATGTGGTCCATAATCTCTTTATAAATATTATGTTATCATTACACTGGTGTACATCATTCTTTAACAAAAATGTCTGCCGCCCACGCTCGGCGCTTCTTTTCATACAAAAACTAACAATTTATTATAATTTTCTTATAACATAATATGTTATGGTAGCTGCGTGTTCAATAGGAGTTAATATTATTATTTAGTTGCTCAACAAAAGAACATTTAAATTGTATATGACTATTACTTAATAAGAAGTCAGTAACATTTGTAATGTGATAGAGGAATATAATTTAAGATTACATCAGCTATTTTATGTTTCCTTCCAAGTTAGGCTTAAGCGACCATATTTTGTGTTAATTTATTCTGTTCTGAATTGTCCGAACCGAATCGCATAACAAACCAGCCGTTCATTATCCCAGCTTCTGACGTCTCTATTCAGAACTGACATATTTTATGAACTCCCGAACCAACAGGTATAAATAACAGTTACAAGTCAACGGAAAGATATGAACCAAATCTTTTTCTCACATAAACTCTTGTCACTTTCTTCTTGACCTTCAAAAACAGTTTCTCATATGTAAAACTTGATATAAATCAAAATTAATAATGTCATTATGATTATCATAATTGCTATCAACGGAATACCTGTTAAAATACGCGTTACGAAGTATAACGCGTATTTGAGTAACAAGAGTGAAAACGGTGTTAAGAAGTTGTTATTAATAACACTTATTTAGCTGTGACAAGTAGCAGGTCATTCTCACAATGAATCATTTGTGATTTATAGACAACATCTGGAACTGACTACCTTGTATAATTACTGCGACATTCTAAATTAAGTCTGCTGCTGTAATTAAGCAGAAAAAGTTGTGTTTGTTATAATAAACTGATTGTAATTATTCTTCCTTTCACTAGTAGCTCTGAAAGCAAGAGAAAATTTAATAAGGTCTAATAAATAATTATTTATAACATAACACGTAGCTATATATATAACACGCATTCTTTTTGCCAAATCATTATAGAACTTAAATTATTTGAACAGGAAGTAAATAGACCTAAGCACGAAAATCACACGATAATGTAAAATAATATTACGTAAAAATCCAAGAGCGAAAATCTTTCTTAAAATTTCAACTTTATTTATCAAAATCATTAAAGAATTTGGAAAAGGTGTGAGAGGCTGGCTATCCGGTACAGGCGACGCTTCACACCTCAATGCTCATTAATTCCGTAGATCGCGGAGATCAGGTACGAAAGGCCTTTGATTTTCGCGCACTCCAGTTTACGTTCAAACGAGCCGACAGATTCTATCAGAGAGCCAAGATGGCCGGCCACTAAGCTTTTGACACCTCCCGGAGATGCGTGCCAGTGTCCGAATAAAACATGAGAGATAAACTTTAAGGTCCGCCCTTGAAATACCGCGAGAGAAGTCATCGGATATCAAGTTTAAGTACTACGTGAAAACTTGTAGGCAAACCTATGTATTACTTTTGAGGACGGTCGTCAGTGATAGTGAACTTGGGGCTCCACGTATAAACAAAACGCTTCTCTTATAAAACTTTCAATTGTGGCAATTCGACACACAATAGAAGTACATGAACGCCGGCGTTCTCTAGGGGCTTGATGTAAGTATCTTAAGTTATATTAAACCGTACCCACGTTCAATTTATCGTCTACCATTACCAAATCTTCGTATATCGGCTCTAGCTAAAATCTTCCTAGGATAAACCTAACACAGCTACTTTAGCAAGGAGGTAGTAGACAACCAACCAATTCATCTTTCCTTGTCAAGAATTTAAATTCTCACGACTGTTTTATGGAAAATTGTCAATGTTAAGTAACAATAACAAAAAGATATGTGGTACCATACTTGAATACTGATAAGGGTTTCTGCAGGCTTAAAATGCATATTTGTTTTTACACTTTTTACTTTCTTAAAAGGCACAGTAAACATCTTTATCCTAATTAAAGTATAACCCTACTAAACAGAATGACTTATAGGATCTATGTATGTATGTATGTATGTATCTTGTAAAATATATTTCATAAAACTAAAATGCAATTTGTTTTTGTTTGGCAGGTGAAGGCGGCGGCGGCGGCGGGGGAGCGCGGCGGTGCGCGCGCGACGCGGCGTCGCCCGCGCACGCACCGCCGCCGACGCCAACCCCTGCGCCGCACGCGCCGGTCAAGAGCGAGCGACTCAGCCCGCACGACTCCAACGCTTCCAGGTAAACTACTCAAAAATTATTGAGTTCTCTTATCTCCACAAACAGTAGTATAGTAGTCACTAGTAATTAGTAGTCTTATACAGTTTTTCCCAGAATTAATATTCAATCAATCAAAAATTCTTAGTTTGCATCCTATGGTCATTTTTACCAATATCACAAACTGAAGTTTGACGTTAGAAATAATCGAAATAAACAGTACTTAATTAGTTCATTCTTTCTCAACTCCAAACCCTACAGAATGACAGGCATTATCAACGTTTTCCTACCTCGGTTTTCGTGCCAAATACACATCCATTTTTCAAAATAAAAGCGAAAACGTAACCGTCTAACAAAACGCTGACATTCCATCTCTTTACACGCAGCAGCAAAAGATAAGCATCGTATCGTAGTACATATATTCGTATCCATCTCACTTGATCTTATCCAGAGCGAACGAGGCAGTTGTATTATAACTGTTAGGCAGTGCTGAAGTCTGCCTCTGTCTGAACGTTGTGTTTTGTCAAAGATTTGTAAGGCATGACAACATACACAGAAGCATAAATAGATTGATAGGGCTTCTACTCAATTGGGACTGGACTATACGGGGTACATGAGGTACAGTACAAAGAAGAAGAGATGATTAGCAAACTTAATCTCTATCACCTAGTAATAAAGGCTTTTATCCTTTAACCAGGTCTCGTAGCGTGACCCCATCGACATCATCGTACCCGGGTACGCCGCCAGAGCGCGGTAGCCCGCACGCGCCCGCGCCGCCTGCGTCTGCGCAACCGCCGCGCAACTACTCAGACATCATGCGCTCACTCGCCGCGCGATACAACACACATAACAACAACGAGTAAGTATCAACCCTTAAAAATATGGCAAATCACTTAAAGTACCGAAAAAAATTAAGTTTAATCTAATAAAGTAACTCCATACTAGACTAGAATCTAGGAGACGTTTAAAGACGAAACATTAAAATGATTGCTAGTAAGTAGTAAAATTACTTGTCTTTCTTTAACTAGTGAAACATTAAAATGATGTACATGTGTATAAATGCCAGGTAGTCCGTCACAATTCCTATCAATTAGCTATACTAATTTTCATTGCTAACAATGAGTCATCATACTAGTAGTTCATCAACTACAGATTCTTCATAACAAAAACTTGAATAATAAAAACCCTAATTAAACAACGCAACTGACATAAGAAGAGCTAGAATACAATTAAAACGCCCTAATTATATACGCCGAGTGTAATTGCAGACGAATACAAATAAATTAAAACCATAAACCACTAATGCATTTCGGTTACTCTCGGATAAACTCAAAACATATTAAACTAAATTACATTCTACGTTTCTAGTTCAAAATTACAACATTAACCTTGCTTCCATTTTATATTGTTTTAGCTATCTAAAGACATGTGTTAAATTCCTACATTAATACGCTGTCGTTATCGAATAATCCATTTCCGATTAATTATCGATACTCAATTCGATACTCGCATTCATCAATCATTTTTCACACGGTCGGTGTCACAATAGTATGCGACCCGCGGTTCACCGACCGACGCTAGTGATGCCCAACATCGATTAGCATATTAATCGATTTGAAAACTTACGTTTAGTCGACAAAATTTACATGATTCGTGAGAACCGATGCTGTCCGTGTGAACTTATGTTATATTAATGAATTGGTCACCTGGGGTCGCCGAACTTTGTCTATTTTAATTACCAAATACGACAACGTGAGCGCCGGCTGCGGCATCTATTTGCATTCGTAAAACGGAATTTCTAAATGACGATATGTTCGGATCGTATCTTAAAAAGATAAAATTTCCAAAATCGATAGAAGTTTTATTTGATTCGACTACAATAAATTTAAAATAAATTTTTATAGCTCTCTTTTTATTTATTGTTTTCTCAAATTAACAAAAATATTCAGCCATCATTTTTCACTTTTGCCGCAGGTGTCAAACAAGCGAAGTTATTAGTGTAAACTATACATTATTTAAACAAAGCGTAAGATTGGATAATAAATTCCTGTATTTTATTATAGCAAGCACATCAACTTCTAAACAGATACTCGTTTATTCTCATTAAATAACATCGGAATTGTTTTAATATCGAGACACTTAATTATCACTGACCTCTTTTTTTTATTTATTTATTCGTCTTGATTTGTATTAGAATAAATATTTTGATAATCATTTATCATTCTCACATCGTTATTATTAAACATTTATTTGATGAACAGTTCCATAGTTTATTACAAAAAAAGGTAAATTAAATTAAACCTTTTTTTAAATTATTATATTCTTTAACTCGTTTGGTGAACACAGAACAAGAAGTCCACAAAAGAAAAATAAAAATTAAACAACCTAAAAAGCAAAACCTAATAATGTTTCACATTTCAGCTATTTCCACCGCATGAATGGATTCGGCGAGGTGCGCACATCGGCGCCTGCGCAGGATGCGATAGACGCGCCCCTTGGCGGACTGTTTACGAAACTAGCCTGTAAACAGGGTGGACCACCACGACTACCGGCGTTCCCTGTCATGCTGGATATGAGCTCCACCAAGGTAAATTGAACCTTTTTTTAATTTAAACATGATTTAAAATATAAAGGGCAAACAATGTTTTGTTGCAACATGTGATTCTTGCCAATTATGTCACCAGGTGTCTGGCCATGCAGGGCTTTTCGCCAAGTAGGAAAGGAACTTACTGACGATGTTGATATTACTAATCCTATTATAGTACAGGGCGCAATTCATACCCCGTGGTTGAATCGAAAATGTAAAACTCTAATAATATAAAATAATGGGAACAGGAAATATTAAATTTCTAAATTAAATAAATAAAAAGAAATTGTGCTACCTTGTACAATTGTTTATTAGAAATTATAGCTAATTTGAAATAGTATTGTGGTTTCCATCAAATGTTACCTACTATATCAAAAGTAACTTTCCTTAATTTAGGATAATAGAAAGCAATTTGTAATTTTTATTCTCGAAAATGTCTTTGATTTCAAGCGCTTAAACACAAACAGGAAACACCAAATCAAAAACAATTTTATAAACATGCGTTACACATATCTCTATAATTATTTCCAAACAATTTCTTAAGGTAATTATATTTTAAGAGAAAAAATACAGTTTCGTATTTATTACTTCATAATGTACATTACTTAAGACAAGGCCACTGCCCCTATGAAATAATTTACGCTCAGATGAGTTTTCATTTCAAAAGCGTACATTTGTAATTCATATTAATTATATACACAAGTGCCCACTGACCTTCCTGTTTTAATTACACATCGCACACCGTTTCATAGTTCACGGCTGTGATTAAAATGTCTCGTAAAATTCATAAAGCGTTATCGAGCGAAGCATCTCCATCGGGCGAGGCTCGTTTATGTTAATTTGAACCTCTTTAAAATCATAATGCGCGGTGAGCACCTCGCTTCCTCTCCACTAATAATGGACGCAATTAAATCTGATAAGGCCCACGACCTTTACACTTCCTCCGGTGTTGCATAGACATAGTAGAGAGAGTGTTAATTGCTGGTCGGCCGCAGAGCGAGCGGGGCGCTCACAATCGGCAGGGTAATAGTGCTGCCCCGCCCCCTGCTCGCCAGCGAACCGTCTCGACTCGACTCTCCACTGTAAAAGGAACTGGAGCTGCACTAATTGGCCGCGGCACGCGCCGCGCATGCGCACCGGCTCGCCCCGCGACACGCTAGTGATGGGATGTGAAATCGAAACACAACTCGACTTTAAAATTAGTTGACTTTTTGCACACGAGTGCAATAAGAGACACGATAAAATTGCAGCGTGGAATCATAACAGTTATTCGATTTCGACTTTCTAGCTAAATTGCCAGCGACATAAAGCGATCATCACGTGTTTTTTCGTAATTCCATATGATACGCAGCCGAGATCAAATTGCTGCCGGGCCATGATTTGTTACATTTCTCTTTACGGTTAAAGTGATCTATAAATAGTAGTTTAAATTTATTTTCAACTATAAAGAGAAACAGGGGCTAAGCGGAAATAAATCGGTAAGATTAATGTCGGATGCTCGGCTTCAGCACGTAGCCGGCAGGCGCGCGGCGCGGCGCGGCGTGCACGCTCGCCCACTATAACAGCCGTGTTCATTTCACGCGCGCGCGCCTCCGTCTGAATTTTATTCAGAATTACCCTGCATTCGCCTTTTTTAGTACGTGTGGCAATTAAAAAAGATAGATTGCAATTTGACCCGCGGGCGCGGAGCGTGACGTTCGGAACGTTATTATGATGAATGCTCGCCACTTACGATACGAGAGCGCTCTCGATCAGATAATAGCCTACCGGCTAGCCTTTCGTGTTTGCTTAGCATTGAACTGTATGCGCCGCTTGATGGACTTCTGAGTAATTGAGTTTTTTTTATAGTAAAACCGGCTTATTGATCAAGTTCATTATTGATGGCTTGAACTTTGAAATATGAAAAAAGCTATCTACTTCTAAATTGCCTACTTTCGATCAGCAATTTCGTGGTCTGCCATCAATTTAGTCGAAATTCGGTTGTAATATAAACGTGTTTGTTTGTCTGTAGACGTTGCTGGCGATATCACGGGTGGGTCGAGGTGGGAGGTCGCGGCGCAAGCGCAATGGCGCGGGCGCACCCGAGCACTCGCCGCTCGACCTGTCCGCGGCGGGCGAGAGCGCCGCCAAGCGCGCGCGTCTCTCTGCCAGCCCCAGCACAAGGAGCGACAGTGATGACAGAGACCGAGTCTCTAATGATGGTAAGTGGCAACATTCTTCAGTCCCAAACACTAAGAACAATTTATTCAAAAAAAACGGAGAACGTTTTATCTTGAATAAACCTTAGCCGTTTAAGCTACAATACATTTTAAAGCTATACAACTGACTAACGAATAATTTTCTATTTAATATTGTAGGTATGTTATCGTCTTTAACAATTTATGACAAAAATACTACATGAGTATTTAGATGAAACTTTTACGATCGCCTACGAGCATAAACCACGTCTAACATTCGATAACTTTAACATGATAGTCTTAATTCTTATTTAAAGTGTCTTCAATTTGATCTAAAGAGGCAATAAATTATATTTATATGACGTTAATTTTTCCCTTAGAACGTAGTGATGCGCGTGGCGAGTGTCTATGCGCAGAAGCCCGTGCCCGCCTCTCCGCCTGGTCAGTCGATGAAGTTTGTGACTTCATAAACTCAATCGATATCTGTGCCGAATACGCAACGGTAAGTGCACATCACTATTATGTTTTAATTTTAAATTTCGAACATAGTTGATTGGTTGACAGATATTATGTAGAACAGAAAATTTAATTGATGTGTTATAAAATGTAAAATATATCGATTAAGTCTAGTAGATTATTTTATAAGCAGGAAATTGCATCTATAAATTTTATAACACGATGATCTATAACTGGTTGATGCGTCGTAAACATTGAGAGAGTCGAGCTGAGGGCGTCAATCAGGTGCTTCAATTAATTGCAGAGAAATTAAGCTCTATTACAACAATAATAAGATACTGTTTGATTTAAGTACTTTCGTCGGATCGAATCAGTATTGGAGTGCAACGGGTTGATACAAATTCGTTCACGGTGCTCGATAGGGTCGATTTACACGCCAACGGATCTTTGAAGAAGCGTGCTGAGATAAAATCAAACGTGCACTCTGAGTTATATTGAACTATAACATAAATTGACGGAACAAAACTCTTTGTAGTAGTGTTATACCATTTGTTATACTAGTAACTCCTTTAACACCTAGTACTTCAATACGTCACTAACATTCTAAAACAAAGTGACAAAATATCCAACTTCTAATAGAATATCTCTAAATTACAAATTTTCAAACTTCATACCAGCACAAGAAACTACACCAATCTGACAAAATAATTTAAAACATTTTCATCTTTATCACAAAACGATATGGTTAAAAATCGATTAAAGATAAATCGAGTAGCTTGATATGCCGTTGTAACAACAATAGCAGACATCACTCCATCACCTCTACAACTATGATTACCAATAATAATTGACCGGCCGCGTCAAACAACCATTTTAAAATGAACTATTCCATCAATAGGCGTTCCATACTTCATTTATTAACCTACGAAAAAGACTCTTATTGCTTCGTAATACGGTTGCAATAAACATTAGGTGCTATCGTGTTCCTTTTTTAAATATTTTAATTGCGTACAGTGAAAGGGACGAAATAAAACAAGAAGTATTGAAAATGAATCATAATAGCATTCGCTTTAATTATTCGGAGGCTCGCCTTACGTAAGTACATCTTTGTTAACATGGCTTTCTACGTAGACACACCGCTACCGGGTTTCATCATTAAAAAAAAAGAATTTAGAATAAGAATTCTCATTTGTTTTATTGGGATTTTACTTTTTTTATTACGCTCACTTTTTTCTCGTAAGAAAGTTTTACGGTATGAAGGTTTTATGCGCAAACTATGGTACTTTAGAATAATGTAGATCAAAGAGGATATAACCACTCGTCATTGATGTAGATGAATATTTTTACTCTATTTCGGTGGTTGTAAAAAATACGCAAGCACTAAATGTAAGACATTCTTACTAGCCACGTATAATTTGACTAAAAAAGGAATTGTATTGGCTGGGCAACCGTGCAAATTGTGTCACCAGTTTGAATCCCGCACGGAACAACTATGTTATTCGCAAATTGTTATTCCGGGTCTGAGTGTCATGTCATGTAAGCACCCACGACACATGAGAAAATCGTAGTATTAGGCAACTATTTTTTTCATTTCCTTTTCTTATTTACTTACAAATGACATCAAATAAAATTAACTTCTAACAACATAAAGACACCACAATCATTTACAGTATTTATAAACCCATGTCAAATTCATTATAAACGATACCTGAATGGCAATAAAGTTTAAATTCTATTGACAATTACTTAGGTTTACAACCTTAAGTAGGCTTATTGTCACTTTGCTACATCAACTCTACTCGGTATTAGGTAAGGTTTGTTAATCTGAACCTTATTTACTCCAACCAATATGTATATTAAATGTAGGTCATCAACGATCATGTTTTATACCATACACGAATTCAAACTTGCAGTCCGAATAGAAATCTATCATCTAAGCTAATTCAGGTCTAAAACACAAAAAGCGTTAAATCACACAAAACTCAATTGTTAGTATAAATCAAGACTTTATATTGACTTAAAATATCAACATTAATCGCTTGTTAAACAGAAAAGAGACCTAACTCAAAAGATAAAGCATTTCAATCTTAAAAATTATGCTTCAATAATAAGATTCAATTTTGGAATATCCTCATTTTTGAGTTAGGCCTTTTTTCTATTTAACACGCGTTTATTATTTTACGTATGCTTTCAAACACAAACGCAATGACGTAACCTGGACCCCGCCCGAAGAAAAAGAAGGAACTAGGTGGATTTTAGTTAGTAAGTATCTGACCCCCCTTCTCGCCCCTGCTAGGGCGGGAGAAGTCATTTGATAATCTTCCCCCACAAAAAAGCTGTTAAAAACGTTCTAAACATCAAATCAAGAAGCTAAAACAATAAACAATATTACAAACCGCGCCAATAATCAAAAGTCCGCAAATAAAACATATGTAAGTTAACAAGCATATTGTTATAAACATTTCCATTAACTGATTGAGTAATAAAATAAACAACGCTCTCTGTGCCCGGGCACACAATGAGTGCCGTGACGCGAATCATTCCATAACACCGCCCTATTTAGGGCTGAGCTAAATAAAATGAGCTTTCAGCAACTTACATTAAATATTACCCGATTATTTCAGAATGTATTTTAAAATATGGAGGTTTTTGTTCACAACTTCAATTAAGCTATATTATTGGACATAATAAAGTCATACACGTGTCTATTGTATCAATCATCTGCTCATAACAAGAGCTGCTAATTAGGAGAACAATATTCAGTTCGTGTAATATTCCTCCGCTGAAGATAATCTAGCGATCGAATTGATGTAAAAAAACTACTTGCAAAGAATCTAACCGAATTTCTCGGAAGCGTACATCATATTCTTGTCTCCGTCAGAATAAGTTTCCTTAGACACGACAGCCCTGTGCATGCATCACATTACACAACAAAGTATAATGCACAAAGCGTCGAGCATGGCATCGCATGCATTATGTCAATGTGAGGCAACTGAGACGTGGGAAACGGCGAAAGATTTAAAATTTCCATAATATTTGTATCGCGAAATTGCACAATGTCAGTGAGAGGCGAAGACATTTGATCTTATTACACACGGGCGAGGAGCAATCATAATATTGTATTAAATGCGGTATTAAGATGTGTACAGTCAGGGGTCGAAAATACAATTGCACTATACCGATTTTAAAATGACCAAAATATCTTTGTAGAAATCAATGGCTGAGGACTGCTTTAATTTATAGCATAGAATCTAATTTATTGAATAAACTGGCTGTGAACCATTGAGCTTTTACTACAAAAATTTTAGTCAAATTAAAATTGGTAGAGTGTAATTGTATTTTTGACCCCTGACTGTACATTGTCCGTACCTACAATATATCCGTAACAATTAAAGTTGCCCAAAAAAGCTAACGAGGACAACAGCAAAGATGAAATTCACATAGATAACCCAAACACATTTCAGTCTCGAAATATCTTCGAAATAAAAAGAAGTTTAGAAAAAAATGCGGTATCCCAACAATGTCGTAGTTAGTTTACTCAAGTTTACCATGTCTTTGAACTCTTAAAAATAGGCATTTAAAAGTATTTAAGCTAAAGCACAAATGTAAATAATAAAATGTCTAATACAAACACTTTGAATTATGTTAATAACTGGCAGGGTCAATAAATTCACATACATGATAACATGAGCTAAGGAGGTACCACACAATGTAATTGTAATTTTAAAACAAGACTCCCCACGCGGCCGGTCGTGGCATAAAATTGTAGAAATGACACTTTGTTCACTCATGGAAATTTATAATCTGTGATGCCTTTCAAATAGGGATGTGAATGACAGGACATAATATAAGTTCTTATATCGATGTTGGAAAACAGTAAACTTAAATTATTACTTTTTAATTCTTAATGGCTATCGTCTTTAACGAAATACTTCTCAGTTTTAGTAATGCCCATATTTCCATATCAATCCAGATTTCATTGAAAACCTAAAACAGCGATATTCCCGAGCCAATCGGTCGCTATATCACGAAGCATTACGGTAGCAATATCGAATTACCGAATGATTTATACTCCGAAGTGTCGTGCCGAATTGAGGCAACTAAATTAATTGTTCTCTCGATAATAATATCGTTTAACGTTTAACTACGAAATGATTTATGTTTTAGTTATAACGTTACTCGGATCCTGGTGGCCAGTGATGTATTTATGAATTGCTGTTAATGTCTTTGGATAGTGCTCTGTTTTAATTTTAAAATAAATGTTGGTTTGATGTAAATTATTTGTTGTCACATTGAGACTTCATTTCTTTGTTCGGCAAAAAAGAAATAAATGCGGAGTGAAATTCAAATTGGGATTTGAATTCGATATTTACACGTACAGATGTGGAACCGATTTATTTTTTTTCTATATTTAGATACTTTCCAAACGCTACCAAAAGAAAGTTCTAAAACTGGTTTCGTTTACCTAGTAAAACTTTAAAATAATTTGATGAAAAAGTACAAAAAAGCAATGTCATATTTACGTAGGCCTGGCGTTTTAATGGTTCTGATCAATTTCCACTAATTTAAATAATAATCATCTGCCATAAATTAATATTTTTACGACGTTAACAACTCATTAATTAAAAATTATGATTCTCCCACAGTTTAGCACTAAAATTTTATATTTTTGGCTCCTATGGCGTGAAAGACGAGCCTTATTACAAAATAAATTATAATTACGAGAAATAAAACAATACTACGAATAATAACTGAATGAAGCTGCATGATATCTCAATTATAATAATTGCTGATTGAACTGATTTTAAGATCAGGAATAATTCTTTGGAGTATACTTTGGATTCAGTGAACTTAGTTACTCGGTAATGGAAACAGCGGGGTTCACAACAAACACATACATAGTTCTCCCTAAAATTTAATGACCATAATAATAAAGTCAATTCAAATTGAAGCTTTTCATTTGGGCTGTGAACGTCGTGAGTAATAAACAAACATACACGCAAACTAACCTGCCCCACGAATTTGTAGATGGCATCGGGCTTTGCG